CCTTTGCACACAAACACACATGGAAAGGGCTGCAACCCCCATAATAAAATTTTTTACAGACATCATAAAGTTTGTTATAAATTGCATGTGTGAGTGTGTGAGGGGGTGACACTCCAAACCGCAACACCAAAAAATGCACATTAGCATTAAGGCCTGTTCGGTGGGGTGTTAGAGCCAGCTAGACTCCACTTGATGTGTGTTCATGCACGTTTAAGTTTTCCTTGCATGGCCTGATGCCTAAACGACCGGCTGCCTGCCATGGCATAGCCCAAAATCGAAAAAATGACTCATTCATTTCTCATTTGGGAGTGTGTGTGTTTTCTCTTTCTCTTCTTATTTTCCTGGCGTTCATTTTATAGTTCCAGCCGTTTGTATTTTATTTTTGGAGGGCACTCCATTTCTTAAAAGTGCAGACACACAACGGCGACACCCCATCCAATGCAAAATAAAAAAACAACAATTACAATTACAACAACACAAAAATGTATATATTGCCGGGTTTATTATTAGCATGCGGAAAGCCGCTTGCTGATTTTGTTGCTTTTATTTGCGATATTTTTTTGCTGCCAGAAAGTAAATATGGGCCCTTTAATTCATTTATGCGATTATTACAATTTTGGATGGTTTCCAAATGAACAGCCAGAAGATGTCTGACGACATGTGGATTATATTCCATAATGTTTTAGGTTTTTCTCAATTTTCCCTTTTTTGCAAATCCACTTTTGAAAAAAAAAACGGGAGGAGTGGGGGACATGAAGTCAATCTCTGTGAGCCATGAGACTCTTGATGTTCCTTCCTTATAAAAATTGTTTTGTGCGGATGTATGTGCGTGTTTGTGTGTTGGTATCTATCTGTCCTCTGATGATGACATGAAACCGACTATGATGGACCAAGACATTGATGGATGAAATGATGTTGTTTGCACCGCCACCACAACAAGAAGCAGAACTATTTTTATGGCCCCAAGTCAAGATGTAATACAACAACAAATGTGTGTGTGTGTGTATGATTTCACCCCAAAGCAAACCAAAGCATTGAGGAGACAGTTAGGCAGTCAGTCAGTCATTTCTTTTTTTTTTGCAAAAAGAAATGGAATACATCTTCCACTTTGGTTTTTATATATTTCCTTGTAGGACTGCTCTTTGTTTTTTGTTGTTGACAGACCAGGATATTTTTAGAATAAAAAAAAATATATCAATTCGTATATTTTTTTGTTCGGCTTCAGGGGGAATCGGAAAAAATATAAAAATTGCAACTGATTTGAAATTCATATTACATACCGGGGAAAATTACAAATACACAAAGGAGTAACGACAATTTTCCTGGAAGGGTCTATTGATATCACAGAATTTATTAGTAATAAGGGTTTTTTATAAAAAAAGAAAAAAAAATGAAAATTAGGGAGGAAATTTAATAGAGATAAAGAATATAAAATGACCTCTTCTGGTATCCCAGAATTTGTTATTAACAGGGATTTCTTTATAAAAAATGGAAATTAGAAAATGATTTTAAAAGATATAAAATATATTGAATACCATCTTCTGTAGAAATCATTGGAAGGTCCAACAAGGTCCCAACCTGATACTTATTCGCCTACATTGCCTTCTGACTCCTTGATCTCTTATTAGTTCTCTAGATTTTTATGAGACTTCTTTGAAACAATTTTTTTCGCACCACACCCCTCCTCACTCGGTTTCCTGTGACACAACAAAGTATTACAATAAATGCCATTTTTTCCAAAGAAAATTGTGGTATTTGAGTATCTTGTTTCCATTTGCCATTAAAGTGTCTACAAGTTTTACCCAAAAAAAAAGACACAAAATTTCTGTTTTTCCCAAGAACCGAAAAAACAAATACCCCAACTCTTGGAGCCTAGGAATCGTTATATTTTTAGTATCCATGTTTTTTGCTGTCTTCTAGTTTATGACTCCATGTAAAAGGTCAGAAAATGATACACCACCATCACACACTCTACCCCAACCACCCCTTAAAGAAACCGAAAAAGGAAACACACACAGAACAAAAAGTTATACAACAGCACTTAAAGTTTGACGCCATCACGACGACGAAGACAGCGACAACATTTGGTGTGGCATGTGCCAGGCCCAAAACAAAAAAAAAAAAAAACCCTGTCATGCCGGTGGATTTTCCCAACAACCTTCCACCCTCCTCATCATCATTATCACCAAATACATTCGACACTTTTCTTTTTGTCTAAAGACTTCTTTCTTAGAATACCACCAGAAAAGATTATGAGGTTTTTTGGGAACTTTAACTAAATGATGTGTGGACAATGGACAATAATATTTGGAATATGGTGGAAAATTATGGGGTAAATTTATTATGGTATCCCCTTGAAAATATGTTTTTATTTGGAGGAGTAAGGGAATGAAATATCAAATAGAAAACATAAAAGGGTAATTTTAGGAGAGAAATAAAAATTATTAAACAAATAAAAATATAAATTTTCAAAAAATGGTGTATACTTTAAGGCTCAATATCCATTGTCTAAAACCTATTACAAAGCATGTAGATATTAAAAAATAAGAATTCCAACTTTGCTCAGCGGATTTTTTGGGCCTTAAAATGTCTATAACCCTAAATACTTTTTAAATTGTAGCCGACTTTTAGGTGCCATATTTGAAATATATTCCTGGTTTGAATAAAGAAATATTTATATGGAGAAATAACAATTATTAAAAATGTATAAAAAATCAGAAAGTGGTGTCTACTTTTAGGCTCAAGATCTTTAAAGGCTATTTTAGAAACTCACAGTATTAGTAAACTGATGTGTGGCCTTAAGAAGCTTGTAAACCTAATGTAGATATTGTTGCCTACTTTTAGGTGCAATATTTGAAACATATTCCAGAACATATATGTACATATATGCTATATACATATAATTGTTTAAATACAAATCAAAAGAGATATTCGTTGAGTTCTGAATAAAGAAATATTTATAGGTGAAAATATAAATTAATATAAAAAATTTCAAAAAGTGTAGTATACTTTAGGCTCAAGATCTTTAAAGTTATAGGAAATGGAAAACAGAACATTGAAGAGAAAAAATATTGAAAATCCCAATTCCTCTTTTACTCAGAAGATTTGTGGCTTTAAAATACCTATTACCCTAAACAATTAGAAAATATTGCATAAAGTATGGTGTCTACTTTTAGGCTCAAGATCTTTAAAGGTTATAGGATATAGAAAATCAGAACAGTGAAAAGCAAACAATTTTTTTTAAATCATCATTCATATTTTACACAGCAGATTTGGGGCCCTAAATAGCCTATAAATCTAAATAGTTTAGAAATTGTTGCCTACTTTTAGGTGTCATATTTGAAATATATATAAATTTTTATATATACAACAATTTGTTGAAGGAAAATATTATTATTTTTGTGAAATGTATGGAATTAAAATGTGAGAATGTAGAGTATACTTTTGGACTCCAAATTACAAAAAAAATCACAAATTTCTAAATTCGAACACATTTTAAGCACAGTGGCCTAGATTTTATTTAAATAAATATTTTAGAAAAGTTTTTTGTTTTAGAAATTTTAAAATATTGTAAAAAATGTGGCGCCTACTTTTGGGCGTAATTTATTTCTTTTCTTTTAATATTATTTGAAACAATTTCTTAACCAATTTTCTTCTCGTTTTTTTTCTTCTCTTTGCAGATTTACAAATTTTAAATGATATTTAGCAGCCAATACTTTATAAAGCAAACCAACAAAATCCAGCATCATACAAAGAACAACTACAACAAGCAGCAGTACTTAACCAAATAAAAAAGAAAACCCCCAAAAATATTCATGCAAATTTTGAAAACCAAAAACAATTTCAATTAAAAATCACAAATCTCCCAGAGAAAACCAAAATTTTCATCAAACCAAAAAACAAACAATTTTAAACAAATTAATTAGAAACTAAGAAGTCCAGTTTTTTTGAGATTAATTAAAAAATAAATAAAAATCACGCCATTTACAAAAAAATTACACTCCTAAAAACCAAAAGCAAATACACTTGCAAAAACAAAAAAATCATACAGCAAAGTTTTAAGCTTCAAACAATATTATTAACTAAATAAAAATATTATTAACAAAGTGAAGTGAAGAGAAAAATACGAAAAAAAACTCCCTGCTAAGCTCTCACGTCAAGAGAGAGCAAAAATCCTAAACATCAAGAGAGCCAAAAGTGAGTGAGTGTGTGTGTGCGCGAGTGAGTGGCCAAGTGTCTTGTGCGGCATATTGCAACAAATTGTGGCAACTTGGAAAACAGTCTGCCCCAACAATTGCCGCAGATCGCAACTAACCAAAGAATAAGAAGAAGTAAAAACTCTTCAGTATTACAACAACAGAAAAAAGAAAGAAGTAAAACGGACACACCAAGTGTTAATCCAAAGAAAAAATTCTCAAAATAAACAACAACAACAAATAAAAATTATTATTAATTTAAGTGAAATTAAAAATTTCACAAAAAAAATAAAATTAAATTCCAAAAGAAAATTCAATTTTCTAGAGTGTACAAAAACAAAAAAAGTATTTTGAAAGAAACGTTTTTTTTAAAAAAGAACTGAACTGAAGACTGATGGTTTGAAATTACTTCCCAAGGGAAATAAATTCTTGAAATAAAAATATTCTGTTAAAAAAAAAAAAACACAAAAATATCCCCTGAATCTCAAAAAAAGGAATTTTTCCAAGCCATAAACAAAGACAACAACAACAAAAAATTTAACGTTCCTCGATAGCTTTGTGAGCAAGTGAAAGCGTTTTTTTCTAACAAGCAAATTTAATTTCGTTAAGAAGAACAACGATCTGTGATGAGCGATCAGGTGAAAATGAACGGCAATGGTGGCGATTCGGCCGCTGCCATTGACCCTCATAATGGCAATCCTCAGGAAACTGTGGACTCTGCTGCCAATGGCATTGACCGGGCCAATGGCAATGGTGATGGTGTTGGCCAACAGCCGCAGAGTTTGGATTTAAGTGGTGGTGGTGCTGCTGCAGCTGGAGCTGGTGGTAGTGGTGGCGGTATGGCGGCTGCTGCTGCTGGCGGAGATGCCGCTTCGATGGCTGGTGACGATGCTGGGACTGATGCTGGTGCCAGCTCTATACCACCATCGGAAGCTGGCGGTCGTCCACCCTTGGATACGGTGGGTTCAGAAGGTGGCGGTCCTTCGAGCATGGGTGGCATGGTTGGTCCACCAAGTCCTTTAACCGGTTGTTATTTATTGATCATTTTGGGTGAGCCGCATTCGGAGGAGCATAAGGATAATATTTTGCAGCATTTGCTAAAGGGTAAGTTGAGAGAAGATATACATTTAAAGACATTTTTAAAAACAAACTACAAAAAAAGTCAATTCAGCTAACTTCTTTTATAGAAAACTTTAATATACCAATTCAGTAAAATTTTACTGCAGAAAAAATTAAATTCGAAAATTTTCTTTACCAAAAAAATTTTATTCAGCAAACATCTACTGCACAAAAAATTCAATTCATCTAACTACTTTTATAAAAAAATATAAATTCGGCTAAATTTGTCTACAGAAATTAAATTCAGCTGGCATTTTATTAAGAAATGTCCCTTAATTAAAAAAATGGTGCATAGTTTTAGGAGTCAAGCTAGTTTTATTGGTAATTTTACAATGGATAGACTTGGATTAGACCTTGGATTTATTTTCCTATTAGCATTACACGGAAAAAATTATCTAAAAATGTGGTGCATACTTTTAGGCAACATTTTTGCAAGAAGAAATTCTATACAATGTAAACCTGAATAGAATATTGAAGCTATCTGATATGAATGCAGAATGATGGTTCATTTTCAATATTAAAAAAAGGTCTCTGTATATTATAAGCTATAAATTGGGTCTATACTGGCCCTAAAATAATTAATTTAAGGATCCTGCATTTTTTTATATTACAGGCCTTGGAGCATGGCTTTAGGGCAGTGATCTATTGCAATTTTTTTATTCTCAAATTTAAATGGATTGAATAAAATATTAAATATTTAAAATCGTCAATTTGTAAATAGTTTACAAAATATAAAGCATACTTTTAGTATTGCAAAATTTTTTTAATCTGAATCATTTCCTATTTTCCTGAGAGGTTTCGAATTTATTTTAGCATTTCCCAATAAATTTAACATAGGCTTATATATAATATATATTGCATACTTTAAGGATTGCAAAAATATTTACAAACAAAGCATACTTTTAGGGTAAAAAAACAAATTAGTAAGGCGAAGCAATTCAACTGAAATTGACTGTTTAACTTTTTCTATTGTATATTTGATTAAACATTCAAAACTATTTATTTTTTTGTCTGCTTGCTAGAAAGTCATTCAAAAATTAAATAAAAAAAAATAAATCCATTTAAAACTGCATTTGAAATTATTTAATTAGACATGCTTAAATGGTCTGAATGAAAAAATAATGATAAACAAATATCAGCAGCAGCATCATGATATTTGATGATGAGGATAATGATAAAAAATTAAAAAAAAACACTCACAAACTTTAATTATAAATTTTCCATCAAAGATAGCGAGACCACAGACAAAAAAAAAAAAAAACAGAAACATTCAACCAAACCCACAATTAGATTACTATCGCCCATATCGTTTTGTTTGCCGGCAACAAAATGCACAGTCAAACTCTCATTGCAATTTCACAGAAGCATTGCCATAAAGATGGCAAAGACAGACAGACACACACTCACACACTTTAAAAAATGCCAATCAAAGGCGTATTGAAAAAAATGAGACATTATCATAATTGAAAATAAAAAATATGAAAAGTGAAACAGAAATTTGAAATAAATACAAAATTATTATGTTTTAATTATGTATGGTATGGAAAAATGATAAATCATATGTGAGCTATTGCATACTTTCAGGCAATATTTATTGGAACATTAAAAAAATTGTTAGCTGAAGGGATTTAAGAAGCTTAAAATATTTTTGTAGAAAGAAATGCAATAAAAATGTGTTTTATACATTTCGTTGCATACTTTTAGGCATATTAGAGAGTATATAGAGTAAATAAAAAAATACATTGCCTACTTTTAGGCTTTTAAATAGTCAAAATTGCATCAAAATACTAAAAAAATCAGCATATATCAGCCAAATACTAATTTCTGCGACAATATTCAAATTTTCATAAATTCATTGCATACTTTTAGGAGGTGACACTTGAAAACTACATATTTTTAGGCTTTAAAATACTGGAAATAATTAAAAAACAGAATATATCTAATACAGAATAAAGAAGTTAATTAATTTTATTATTTCTGCGATAATATTTAATTTTTCATAAATTAATTGCCTACTTTTGGGAGTTAAAATTTGAATACTGCATAATTTGATAATTCCAAGTCACTTTGAAATAATTTATAAATGGAAAATACAGTCTATAAAGGAGGGAAACAAGAAAATTACTAAAAATCAGAAATACATATGAGTCGTTTATTTGGAAAGTGGGTTAAGACAAAGCCAGAACTAAAATTAATGCCACTTAACACTATTTTTGAAACATATCAAACCTATAGCTTTAAATATCTCAATATCAGAACTTAATCCACTTAAACCACTTTCAAAATAAACGACTAATATAATTGTTTTTTAATTAGCATAAATATTAAAAATATTGCCTACTTTTGTAAAATATTTTTAATTTGAATAATTTTCTGAAATAAAAACACCTTCATATTTTTTATTTATTTTTTCTCTTGCATACTTTTGGGGTTTATTAAAAGTAATTATTATTTCCATGATGCAAATAAACAGTTTATCATCTATTTACAGCCGGTTTACCCCCTTCTCTGAAGGCATTCCCCAATTGCAAATGCATAAAGCGTTAAAACACTCTAGTTTTTCAATTGGTCAATTATTTTATTTTTTTTTTTCAAATTACATCAGCAGCTAGCCATTGCCCTTCCACAACTACAAAAAAACAGCAGTAAAAAACTTTTGCAGCCATCAAAGTCATTATAATGCCATAATATTGGCAGTGTTTGTTTTTGTTTTATTTTCAAAACTAATTTCTAGTCTCCATGGAACAGAAAACAGCTCTAATTGTTTCAGTTTTTTTTCTAACAACACCAACAACAATAATAATAGCACATTTGTTTTTCTTGTTGATGAACGTTAGCCGGCATTTTGTGGCTAGTTGAGCTGATTATGGCCACAATCTTGGCCGCCAGCTAGAAACAATATTTTTTTTAATTCGAGACAAAGAGTCAAGTAGACAGACACTCAATAATTGTTGGCTGGTCGGCTGACTGAAACACTGACTGGCAGCTGTTTTGTTATAACTGTTGTAGATTATTTGAAGAGCGGTTTTTTGCTGCAGCTTTAGATTGGATTTTCAATTTTAGTTTGAATATGAAAAGACAAAAAAAAAAAAAATGTGAAGCACAGAATTGGAGCCCCACAATAATGTAAACCACACAGTGTTGCCGACACGCGACATTAATTATTCAAGCGTTAAGCGTTTTTTTGCTATTGCTGTCTTTTGTTTCTTTATTTTTTATAGACGTATGATTTTACTGGGCATTTAGGCGTTAAATCAAAAATAGTTTTACTTTGGTTTTTGTGGCATTCCAATTGCTTTTTTTCTCACTTTATTTTTGATGAGGAGTTGTAATTTTATATTTGGTTTTTCTTTGATTAACATTTTAGTTGGAATGTAATTCAGTTAGAGATTGGAAATACTTATATGGGTCAGTATTAATAAGCAGCGAATGGGAGGAAATATAAAACAGTTGATATAGACAATTTTGTTACTATGAAAGATTGAAATGTGATGGAATCCTTCAACATAAAAATTACTTTTAAAAATTCCACGCCTAATTGTAGGCCATAAAAATTACTTTTAAAAATTCCACGCCTAATTGTAGGCCATAAAAATTACTTTTAAAAATTCCACGCCTAATTGTAGGCCATGAAAAAAATTCTTTAAAAATTCCACGCCCATAGTAGACCTCGAAAAAAATTCTTTAAAAATTCCACGCCTAATTGTAGGCCATAAAAATTACTTTTAAAAATTCCACGCCTAATTGTAGGCCATAAAAATTACTTTTAAAAATTCCACGCCTAATTGTAGGCCATAAAAATTACTTTTAAAAATTCCACGCCTAATTGTAGGCAATAAAAATTACTTTTAAAAATTCCACGCCTAATTGTAGGCCATAAAAATTACATTTAAAAATTCCACGCCTAATTGTAGGCCATTAAAAATATTTCTAAAATATCTTAGAGATTACTTTTGTGAGGCAACTTAGAGTAAAATCTAATGCCGAACATTTTTCCCATTAACACCTTCCCTCTAAGTTGAAGTGTAGCGGTTCTTATCTACTAACAATACTAATTTTTCGGATTTTTAGTTGAGTTTTCATTTGGACACATTTCAACTTATACCCCCTAAAGTATGCTTTAAATTTATTTCCAGTTACCTAAAAATATACTCCATATACTTGTTTTTTTCGATTTTACTCAAAAACTTGTAGTTGATTTGATTTATCTAACTTTTAAATGGGCTCCATGGACTCTTTCTTTCCTCTTCCCGACTTCCTCTCACAAAATCTCCTGGCAAACTTCTCTACTTCTTTACTAAACTAACAAACTTTGTTGCTGTTTTCAAAAAACATTTTGGGCGTTTTCATTTATGCAAATTTTCCCAGTTTAGCTCTGGGGGAATGAATGTGAAAAAAATAAATACAAACTTTTACTTTCAGGTTGTTGATAATTCATGTTGATAAGATTTTGATTAGCCTGTAAAGCTAAGCACCACAAAAAAAAAAAAAATGAAACGAAATATCTTGGTAACATGCAAATGTAATTTGAAAAATTTTCTACTGCCAAAAAATCAGAGAGAGAGAGAAAAAAAAAAAACATTGGATGAAATGAAAAAAAACGTGTTAGCTGTGAAATTAACTGAAATATATTTTTTCTGGCATGCATTTTGTTGCGGTGTTTAAATATTTAAGCAAAAAAATCAGATATTTTTTCACATTTGTGATACAAGGCTTTGTGTTTCCATTCACATAACAATGCCAGATTGAATGTGTGCTCCTGGTTTTAATTTAATGTACACATTTTGGCCTGTCCCCTCTTGGGGCCAGGTATCCATCCCCTGGCAATCTGTCTGCAAACACTCACCACTGCCTGGCTAAGTAAGAACGTATCAGAAAAAACAGAACTCTGCAGAATTTTAACGACCTCGTAACATGATACGACCATCTGTGTACTTGACCAGTACGTGATCCACAGTGACGAAACCCCGACAACAACAACATGA